CACACAGACATACACCCACACATTCCCACAAATGCATATAAACGCATTCACATCACACACGCGCCCACGCACGCACACAGCCAGACACATGTGTGCAAATAATATATTCATACATCAAAGTAGAGAGGTTCATTGTATGCGAATATGTAATTATTAGTCTGAGGGGAGAAAATGGGCCGGTGGTTAGGGGGTGGGAGGTGGGGGTGGGACCGGTCTTCTGGTTCGGAATGGATTGCTTGTATCGGAAGTGTGCAAAGAATGCAATCGGTGACTACATGATTTCAACACTATACAGTTCTCCAGGATTAGCTGCACCTATAAAGGTATCGTTTATCTCCAATAGGACCGTGCCAAGTAAGCTGTAAGCCTTGAAAGCTGCCCAAATAACCACAAGTTCAAGAACGCTCCTTTGGGGAATTTGCGTTAAGCTCATGTACATCATTACCGAGTCCCTGTTTGAGATGGGTTATATCGAGGTAGATTAACGCACTTCTTTATGACTATATACAGTAAAACATCGAGGGTTTTTTTCTAGCCTAAAAAGGAAAATCATAGAAGTAAGTTCGTTCTACCTTCACACCATTGGCAGAGGCAAGACCAATCGTTATATCATTAACAAATTAGTATACATTATGCACTCACTATACGTTTTATCTTTTATATACCGTGGTCCCTCATGCCCCGCGCATTGGAGGACGGTATTTATTGAGTATGAGAGAGCGATTATAAGCGTGTGGGGAGGGTTTATGAAGGCGGAAAATACGTATTTGATAATATTATATCTATTGTTTCTGCTTCGCTGATTTTTTCCCTATCGTGGCAAGTTCCGGGAAAAAAACCCTGCGATATTCGAAAGAATAGGCCTGCTGTACCTGCAGACACTTCGTGTTCCTCGTATTTCCTCCTCGAGAGTCCAACGCCTCAGTGCACATGACCAGAAGCATGCTTTAACCCCCCCCCTTTCCTTCTAAAAAGTCTCAACAAAACGAACTTCTCCCCGGCCCCCACCCAAAAAAAAAGACCAGCCAACATTAACCTAAACATAAAATATAGAGTATAAAATACTTGTAGTATTTTTTTCCAACTCACATTTTGCAAGTGGATGTTCTTTATCCATAATAAGACTCGGTGAAGTTAAATGCTCGTTATATCCTTATTCTGTCTGTCTGTGCTTTCCTCTTCAAATAATATGTCACTTTTCCCGGAAAAAGAAATTTCCTTGACTGTGCCGCGCTGTCCTCAAAAGTGCGCCTCGTTGTTGAGGTCAACGTCTCTTAGCCTGGCTCCCAGTATAGCCTTGGCCCTGAAGTATTTCTCTCCCTCCCTCTCTCCCCATCTCTCTCCATTATTACTCTCTCTCTCTCTCTTTCTCTCTCTCTCTCTCTCTTTCTCTCTCTCTCTCTCTC